CACAAAGCAACTAGTATTGATAAATGAAAATGGTAACACTGTATAAAAATTTATGACAATCTTAGTGCAAGTTTGGCATCAACCATGCTGGTATCGGTGTCCAGCAATAAACTGCACTTTTCAAACAGGTTTTAAATATTCTCTGATTTTTAGATGGTATTATTCAACAGGAAAGTTTCATAAACATCATGAGGTAGGTAGATTAATGTTGCATTTCACAGATTGAAGCAGTTGGAAGCAAAGTTTTTAATTTTTATGACATGATTTTTAATTTTATGACATGATTGCATTTCTTATTAGCCATGTTAAAACTTTAAGGCAAGGAAAATATTGAAATCTGTAGAAGAATGTTTATTGTAAGTATTTACAGAAACAGCTTAGGGCACCTGGGTGGCTCAGTCGGTAGTTTGTCTCTGTGCTGAGTGTGGAGCCTGCTTGGGATTCTCTCTCTCTCCTCTCTCTGCCCCTCCTCTGCTCATGCACTCCCTCTCTCTCTCTCAAAAGTAAATAAATAAACATTAAAAAAAACCCAACTCAATCAAAAATTTTAATTTGCTGAATTTTAGTGGGCTTTCTGTGTTTTATCTATTCATAAAACAGATTTTCTAATGAGGCAGTGAAAAGAGCAAAGAGAAAGACATTGGTTGTTTTAGTAGAGTTCAAAATCTTTTGCTGCTCGTTATTTAAAAATATAATCTAGGGGCGCCTGGGTGGCGCAGTCGGTTAAGCGTCCGACTTCAGCCAGGTCACGATCTCGCGGTCCGTGAGTTCGAGCCCCGCGTCGGGCTCTGGGCTGATGGCTCAGAGCCTGGAGCCTGTTTCCGATTCTGTGTCTCCCTCTCTCTCTGCCCCTCCCCCGTTCATGCTCTGTCTCTCTCTGTCCCACAAATAAAAAATAAAAAACGTTGAAAAAAATATTTAAAAAAAAATAAAAATATAATCTAGATTTTTAATTTATACCATATTAAGGTTTTAAATTTGCTGCCAATTTACCTAGCTCTGCAGCTTTGCCTCGTTAAAATTATCCTCCTTTCCTTAGGTATAGTTGGATATACTTTTGTTGATTGTCTTAACAGTAAAACTGTTTTGGTCCAATGAAATTTTGCTGAATGCTATGTGAATTTAATTTTCCTCACTTTTTTTTTTTTTTTTTTTTTTTTTGCACAGAGAAACATTAGCTGGCAACAATCTAATTCCTGCGACTTCTAGAACTGTAATGTTCCTGGCTAGTGACAGCCACATAACAGATGAGAGTAGTGGGGGAAGACTAGACTGGCCACAAGGGTTCCAGTCATTTGTAACAAGGTTATTTTTCACTCTCATGAGTGCATGAAGGAATGCCTTGAATATATCCCCTCACCCTCAAACAAACATATTAACAAAGTGACAGATTTATTCAGTTGGAGAGGGTAGATTCCCATTGATGTACTTTTACTCTTACTGTTGAATTGTGAATTTCATTGCGAGATGGTTAAACATTGCAAAAATTTTGGTCCATTGTTGTTCTAGCATTAAAAACGAACCCTTTAGTTCTCATGGCACCCCAAATGCCATCAGGATTCCACAGGGATTATGTGCTGTATTGTTTACTGTCAGTTTAATGGATTTGACCTGTCTTTCAAAACAATATGTCAAGCAAATTTTAGTGGTTTTTGTTTGTTTTTTTAAGATGAGAGTATTACTATAACATTTACAACACAGGAGGCAAAACCCAGGTTTGTTTGTTATTTGTTTTTTTTTTTTTTAACCACAATATTTTTGCAAAATTCACAAGGCAATACTATTTATCAGTAAAAATGTGAACACTATTTTAAAAAATACAACCTTTTTTTACAATCTTAATGTATTTGCACCATCATCTGTACTGGTATCAGTTTACAATAACACACTTCACATTTGTTTAGCAGGCTTTAAACATTCTTTGACTTTTCAACTTATTACTCAACAGGAAAGCCTCACAACAATCCCATGAGGTAGATAGTTAATGTCCCATTTGGTAGATGGAAAACATGAGGTAAAATACATTGCATGACTCCTATAATACCACTCAACAGATCAGGTATCAAACTAAAAATAGGACATATGAATCCTGTTTTAAAAATCCACTTTTCCATTTCTCAGATTTACTTATGGCCTTTTGTATTTATTGCTCTCATTTGTGTTAAAATGTCACTGAATTGAATTTGAACTGAGCATTGAATCATTTAAATCAGTGTGCAGTTTCACAGGCACTTCTATGCAAAAAAGCTATCAGTCTTCTGAAATGTAAATATGGTTACACAAAAGCATATATTCATTGTTAGAGAACTTACACAGTAGAAATTTATTGATTTTGTAGACAGATTTGTTTTCCTCTTTCTACAAAAGACTATGTTTAGCTTTAATATAAAAAGGTCTATTATGAATCAAATACATCTTAAATATGCTAAATATTCTCTAGGAAGCTTTTGTTTCTCTGCATAGAAGGAAGTATAAACATTCAAGTTTTTACTCTGCTTCTTCTATTGATATTTAGTTATTAGCAGTCATCAACTCAGAAATTTGGTGACATTTTCCTTTTAAAGGAGAGTGTGAGATGACCCTTTTGTATCTCAATATTAAGATGTAAATGATAACTAGGAAAGTTTTTAAGTTATATTTATCTTGTTTACATATATTACAGATAAACATACATACGTGTAAATTAACAAAACTTTGTCATTAAAGAAATAGAAAGGCTAGATTTTTCTCTGATATATCAGAACAAGAAATCAAGCACTTTGGTCGTACATGTGAACCCTGAAGATGAATACTGCTGCATCTCTGTAGTCACAACCCCGGTGACTGATGACCACACTCCCTACAACTATGTCTATAACCAGACATAGTCCTAAACATATTGAGATATCAAAACATGATTTTGAAAATCCGATAGATCCCTTAGGGTTTTTTTTTTACAGTGTAATTTAAGCATTCTTAAATAAATTACATGATTTTAAAGAAGGGACTGCTTTTAAAAAGTATACTGTTTTATTGAGTCCAAAGCACATTAATAATAATTGAGAGTAGCTAGTTCATATTGAGACTACTGTGTGCAGACACTGTTCCAAGTGCTTTACTTTTACTAATGCATTTAATCCTCATAACAACCATGTGAGGTAGGTATTATTTTTATTCTAATTGTAGAGATAAAAGTGCTAATGCACAGAGATGTCAAGAAACCTGCATCAGGACACACAGTTCATACGTGGCAAAGCCAACATTTAGCCTGGGCAGTCTGGTTCCAAAGGCTGTGCTCTCTGCCATTAGACTCTGAGCTGTATTTAAGTCCCAAAGCCATTCACTCATTCGACAAAGTTAATTTATCTTAAAACTCATGGAGGCATTCCTTTCCTCCACATACAGGAAATATCCACATAGTGCTCAATATATGTGAGGCACTGTCCGAAGTGCTTACGCAAATCAATTCTCCCAACCTGATAGATATCTGACCTGGCAGAGAGCTGAAGACTTTACAATTCTATGCTTACAAAAGCACCAGTTACTGTATGCTGCTTTACATATTTCTAAATAAATAATTGGATAGCTCATTCCACCGAAAATCTAAGGTGTGTTTTTCTTGCTCTTAATCATTTGAAAGCAACTCAACTAGCCTATGTCCCATCAGTTCTTTTTATCCTCCTCGTACACATGGAAAAATGCTCCCAAGATTCTTCTTTTTCTTCTTTCTGGCCTGACTTCAATTGATATATGGATGGCAAGATGCTGTTAAAGAATAAATCAGAAACACTCCTTCACAATACAGCTTTTATCCTGAAGCTAGTCTTTGTGTATGTAAGTGTTAACAGCAAGTTCAGGTACACCCAAACATCTTCTAAATCGCAAGTCTTATTAATGATAATGCTTTGTATTATTATTTAGAAACACAGGTTAGAGTTCAAGTTATATTGTAATTCCATGCTTCTCCATTCTAGCCAGTGAACGTCCAGCCATCAGTCTTTGAATGTTGAAGCTCTGAATTCTCAGGGAAGACAGCTGTTTGATACAAGAGTCACAGGTGCTCCAGGATATACTCTGAGTAAGTTTTTGGCAGCCCTGGCAGCTCTTCATATCCTGTGAAAAATGATGTTCCTTGTCTTCCACGGGGGGAAACCATTATAAATAGTCCTCTTATTATAAGTACCACGGTTTCCCTTTTGAGGAGTTGGTGCTATTGCCATTTGCTCTGTCTTCCTCCCACAGGGTAGAGAAAGAGTTCGGTCACTTGTGTGCAAAGACAACTTCATGATATTACATAGGTCTGAGTCAGAGGATTTCTTGACATCCAGAAAAAGCACTGATCCAAACCTCATGAATATAAATAATAAACAATATGCAGTAATTTCAGCTTCATATGTCATGCATATAATTCACACTAGATACCAGTCTTTGAGGCAATCCATCCTCGATACTGAGTCACTCGTGTATAGACCCCAGGTTTCTTGGGAAGAGCACATGATTGTCCCCAACTTACTATACCAACTAAGTACCAGATGTCATGATTATCATAAACCAGAGGACCACCAGAATCGCCCTTGAGAAAAAACAAAAATATATTTAGAATTATAAACTCTTACTCCCTTCCACAGACAAAAAGGAAACTGGCATGCAGAACATGCAGCCAGACTAGAGATAGATTATATAATGTTTCTCTGAATTGAGTTAAAATTTTATTCTGAACTTTAAAGTGCAATGGTTACATTATTTCTGGTTCAGCATCCTTGTTTTTTTTTTAAGTCCTAGTTTTTTTTTTTAAGTTTATTTATTTTGAGAGAAAGAGAGAGAGAGAGAAAGAGAAAGAGAGAGGGCGCTAGCACAAGTTGGGGAGGGGCAGAGAGAGAGGGAGAGAGACAATCCCAAGCAGGCTCCACACCGTCAGCATGGAGTCTGATGCAGGGCTCAAATTCAGGAACCATGAGATCATGACCTGAGCTGAAATCAAGAGTTGTACGCTTAACCAACTAAGCCACCCAGGTGCCCCCTTGCTAGTTTCATTAGACACTTTTTCATGGGTTAGTAAGTATATATACAAAATATTAAATATGAAGTTAGTATATATGGGAATAGGTGGAAAGTTTTGATGATCTCCAAATATTCTTAGCTAGACTCAATGTTATAGACTCATTCTTGGTCTCCTTGGCTTTCATGCACCTAATTATAATTATGCTTGCTTGCTGAATTTTATATAAACACTCCTAAATCTGTTTTGGAATAAGGACAGTTAAGTACATAAACAGATATACATGTAGAGGTTAAAAGTGTGGTCTTGGTATTTGAACCACTTATGTTTTAGGATTAGCTCTATCAATTACTGTCTATGTGACTTAGGGTAAAATATGTAAGCTCTCTGTGCCTGTTCTACCTCATTCATTTATTCCTTTGTGAAGTACTTAATAAGTTCCAGCTATGTGTCCCAGGCTCAGGCCTGGAACCTGCCTCAGATTCTGTGTCTCTCTTGCTCTCTGCCCCTCCCCACTCATGTTCTGTCTCTGTCTCTCAAATTAAATTAAACAAGCCCACAAATAAATGCAAGGTGACTACTATGGTAAATGCTATGGAAACATACATAGGGGAATAGGACTGGTCAGGGAGGTCAGGAAAGTTTTCCTTGATGAGATGTAATTGAGCTGATATCTAAAGAATTTAACCTTTATGAAAAGGGAGGTGGCTATATAACATGTTCTAGGCAAAGGGAACAGTACTGCAAATGCTCTATGACATGAAGAAACCTGGCATATGCAAAAGCCTGGGGCAGCGTGGATAAAAAGGAGTACTGAAGAGAAGATAACAAGGGGGCAAGTGACTGTGATGAGTCTGTAAAGGTCAAGAAAACTAGTCCTGGAGAAACCCTGAGGGTCTTGCTTAGAAGTTATATTTTCTATCTTAAAACTGAAGGTAAACCACTGGAGTGTTTTAAGAAGGAGGCTTACAAGATCAGATTAACATCTTGTAAATCATCCTGGCTTTCATTTGACTAATGGACTATAGGAGCATAAGTGTGAATATAAGGAAATGAGCTAGATGAATAATTCCTTTAGATCGGGGAGTGTGAGGAAAAAGTAGGGAAAAGGAGGTAAAATCCATGGGATTAGGTAATCTTTTGGGTATGGGGGAGGGAAAGAAAGCTAGAATGTCTTCTAGTTTTCTGCTTTAATAGAGTGAAAAGGGATGCCATTCACAGAGACAAAATAAAGGAAGAGGTTCAGGTGGGGAGGGAAAAAGAACAGAATCAGGTGCAACATTTTGAATTTGAGATATCTTTGAAATATCCAAGGGGAGTTGTCAAGTAGGAGTTGAACATATAAATCTGGAGATAAAAGGGGAGGTTGGGGCTAAATGTATAAATTCATGAATCATCTGTCAAAGGATGGCATTTGAAGCTAAAGAGGAAAATCAGATCCTCTAGGGAGAAAGTATAGAGTAAAAAGAGGAGCAGACATAGAATAGATCAAAATTTAATGGCTGAGATTAATAGAATGAACCTGAAAAGGAAACAGAGAAGAAGTAGACAGAGGTGTAAGTTGAAAATCATTATAAGCCAAGGAAGACAAGAAAGAGGGAGTGGTAGGCATTATTAAATGGTGCTAAGAGGGAAAAAAAAGGAATAGGACAAAAATACATTTACTGAAGGGCATTGGTGGGTTAGTGAAAACCTCAGGAAGAGCTATTTTGAAGTGAAAGGGCAGAAATCATACTGAAATGGTTTGAAGAGTTAGTGAGAGGTGAGAAAATTGAGACAATGGATATAGACATTTTCCCAAATATTTCACGGTAAAGAGATAAGATACAGTGCTAGCTGGAGGCATTATAAGTCAAGAAAAAGTTAGAGGTTTTTCCCCCCTAACTTGAGCGATATGAGTAGAGAAGGAGCTAGGTATAAGAGAAATGTTAACTATGTTAACTATGGATTCAGATGAAGGCAGGTCTGCATTCATGGTGTTGGAAGATGAGGCAATTCTTCACTTACGATTTCTACTTTTCTTTGAAAACTGGGAAGCAAAATTATCAGTTGAAAATAAAGATGTTGAAAAAAACCAGAAGTTAAGGAAAGTGGAAAATGTTGAGTAAGTTCAGAGAAAGGTAGATTTGGAAAAAAAATAGTAGGATTGTCACTTTTGTTATCTGGAACCTAAAGTGGAACCAATGTGTTGTGTTGTATTTTTTCCAGGAGAATTTGACATCCTTGGTGCAGGCAGAGAGAGAGAGAGTAGATTGTGAAGTTCTTCTGGTTTTGGGACTTTGTCAGACAGAAACACTGAAAAGACAGATCAACAAGAGAACTTAGGATATTAGCAAAAGTGTTCAAAAAATTATTAATAGTGAAATCTAAATTTGACAAGTGGACAATGGAAGAAAGGATTAATGGAATGTGATAAAGCAAAGAAGCGATGGTCTATAGGTCTTTATGAAGTTGAAGAAAAGTGGTATTTTATTTGGCCAACAAATATCTGTGCCAGGCACTGATTTAGGTGTTGTTAATACAATAGTGAATTAAACAGACCCCCCCCAAATCCGTGGCTTCTTGAAGTTTATATTCTAGTTTAGTGGGAGAGACAGACAATAAACCATCTAAATAAATTGTCTGTTGGATGGCAATAGAAGGTGAAGGCAAAGATAAAACAAAGAAGGGACATAATGTACATTTGTGTAGACTGTGTAAGTTGGGGAGTGAGGATGGGTAGACAAGGGTATAGTATAAAGGGTATGGCCAAGGGAGCAGGAATAGCTTGACATGCAGGCAGGAAGTTAAATAGGAAGATTGGGGAATCAGTGTTCTTGGAGATGAAAGGCTCAAAATGTGGCCCTAGAAATGTGGCTCAGAAGTGGAGATCAATGGGAGTAGGAGGTCTAGGAACTAAGAATCCAGCATTTAAATGAGCCAGTGTTAATAATGCAGGCTTGGGATGGACAAGAAACCTGTTTCAGGTGTTAATGTCATTAATAGTGGGAGGGACACAGACACTTGGAGGCCAGGAGATGAAAGTAAGATACATGAGATATGATGCCAGAGCTGAATAAGGTGATCTTCAGAGGAGAGGTTTCTCTGTCTTTTGTTTCCAGTTCTGTTTAAGAAAATAACAATAGAACAGAAGAGTAATTGTTTGAACCAAAAATAGGGAGCAATAGACTTTAATCTCCCAATTTGTAAAAATCGTACCTCTTTGATTTCACTATTTTAAATGAAATAAGCACTTGGCTTGACATACAGTAAATACTTAATACAAGAACTTTTTAAATTATGATTATTAAATAAGCTGAATTCTTGGTGAAATAGATGACTTTTTTCTGCTAGGGGAAATGTATGCCAAATTTATAAATAGCTAATGGGAATTTTCTTTTCAAAGTTTTGAACTTGACTTTGGACTTACCTTACACGCATCTACTTTTCCTTCCATGAATCCAGCACATAGCATTCCTGAAGTTATCAGGCCATCATACACATCCTTTCTGTTACACACATCCGTGCTTATGGTTTCCACCCTGGCTTGCCGAAGTTTGTTTTGCGTGGGTCCTATTATATAAACACACACATACAAACACACACACACACAAGCAAAAAATATGTTCTTTGAATATAACTGTATCTAAGACATGGAATAAGTATGTGTTGTATATTTCTAGGAACAAAAGCACAAAATCAAAAGATTATTTTATTAACATTAATTATAATTAATTATTGCCTTATTTATGTTCTGTATCATAAATGTCTAAATTCAAGGAACCATGCATATGCATACCCCAATATTATATCATATCTGTGAATCTTCAAGCCATTAGAAATCCTTACAACTGGGGCACCTGGGTGGCTCAGTCGGTTGCGCGTCCAGCTTCAGTTCAGGTCATGATCTCGCGGTCTGTGAGTTTGAGCCCCTCGTCGGGCTCTGTGCTGACAGTTCAGAGCCAGGAGCCTGCTTTGGATTCTGTGTCCCTCCATCTCTCTCTGCCCCTCCCCCACTCATACTCTGTCTGTCTCTGTCTCAGAAATAAACATAAAAAAAAGGAGAAATCCTTACAACTACATGTAATAGTGTGTGTGTGTGTGTGTGTGTGTCTACACTTTTTTTTTCATGAGGAGAGGGTTCATCACACTGATCTTGACTAACCAGTAGCCTTTTATGTATAAGGAAATCAAGGCTCAGGGAAGTACATTGATTTTCTGAAAGATATTCAAGTAAAAACCAGTACATGAGCTGCACAGAGCTATGTTCCCTACTCTGTGCTGTGGCAAATTATTTAGACGTGCCTTGAAGCGTGGGAAAAAGAACCAATGCCCACAATATGCCATAAATGTGATGCCAGTACAAAGCAAGACTGGATTTTAGAAGAAGGTAAATAGCATATGGTTCCAGATTGAAGCTGCTGGTGAATAGTCTTAGACTAGTGATAAGAGAAGAGAACACAAAAAGAGACTTATAACAACATCTCACAAAGTCACGCTAGAGATGCATGGGGCATTTGGGAAATTTCACATATAATAGAGTTCTGTCAAGAAAAAAAATCCAGATTTAAATATTAGCAGGGGTGCCTGGGTGGCTTAGTCGGTTGAGTGTCCGACTTCGGCTCAGGTCATGATTTCACAGTTCATGTGTTTGAACCCTGCATCAGGCTCTGTGCTGACAGCTCAGAGCCTGGAGCCTGCTTCAGATTCTGTGTCTCCCTCTTTCTCTGCCCCTTCCCCGCTCATGCTCTGTCTCTCTCTCTCTCAAAATAAATAAACATTATAAAAAATGTAAATATATATTAACATTTGTCTCTTAATTTTTTCAGGATATCTTTGACAGAACCTTAAACATTTATTTCCCATTTTATTTTATCTGTTTTTTTTTTAAGTTTATTTTGAGAGAGAGAGTATGTGAGTAGGGAAAGAGAGAGGGAGAGAGAATCCTGAGCAGACTCCATGTTGTCAGCACAGAGCTCAACACAAGGCTCAAACCCAGTAACCAGGACATCATGACCTGAGCTAAAATCAGGGGTTGGACACTCAGCTGACTGAGCCACCCAGGCACCCCTTATTTCCCATTTTAAAATATTCAATTAATCTCTCTATTTATAGTGAAATGAACTGGTACCTAGAAATATTAAATTCTGGTCTTCAATTTATAAAATTTTAGAACTGATGTCTTTGAACCAACCAGGAGGTGACAGGTGAAAAGAAATGTATGTTAAATTAAACAATCAAAATGAAAATTCTCAAAACATTCACAAAACACTTTTATGTTTATGGTCATCATAAATCCCCATTAAATGAGGAAGTACTTAAGGAAGGAAGGAAGGAAGGAAGGAAGGAAGGAAGGAAGGAAGAAAGGAAGGAAGGAGGAAGGAAGGAAGGAAGGAAGGAAGGAAGGAAGGAAGAAAGAAAGGAAGAAAAGAGAAAGAAAAAGTTATCAGTAAGATTGTGATCTGAAGTATATGCTAACTAGGAGCTTCTACATTGGGAAATATACAATTCAGAATCATTTACTCCCTTATAGTCCCATAGTATTTTGTCCCTTCTTGTAGCACCTAAAGTAGTCTGATATGCTGTTCTCAGTTAGCCTCACCCCTTTTTCATCATTGCTCCCATTAATTGTGAACTCAGGGAATGGGACTTGATTCCTTTTTAACCTACAGATTCCTGTTCTGCTCTGGGCTGTACACATTGGAACCATCATTATTTTTATGAAAAGTCTAAAGAGAGATTCTCTAGGACAGCTTGTTAGAGCTCAAGACAATTGTGTACTAAGTATATTAGGTTGAACCACTCACCATCATCTACAATGGATCCAAAACCTGTGACAAATACACTTGTTTTAGGTGGCAACTTTATAGATGAATCTGGGAGGCAAACTCTCTGGACTATATTTGAAAACTCAACTCGGTTGGTAAGCTGAGCCAAGGCAATGTCATTTTCATTTGTTTCCCTATGGTAATTTTCATGAAGGATAATTTTCCCCAGGCTTCGTTGTACTGCAGGTGGTGTAATAGTTGTACCAAAAGTAGCAATCCATTGACTTGGGTCTTTATTTCTGCAAAGAAAATCACAGGGTAAGATTTGTGATGCTTACCTGTGTCATCTAAAAAAGATTGAGACTGTATTTCTCGCAACTATTGGGATTATGCTCCTGAAAAATCTCTCTGGTGAGAGAATTTGCAGTTGTTGGCCTTAAGGCAGAGAGTTTAAAATATTAATGAGACAAATGCGAGTACAAAAGCTCTTAAAGATATTTTGGAATTTCCATGCTTTGTTTAGATTAATAATAGTAATGGGTATTTTATAATTAATTGTCAATCTTCTAATTCCTTGTTCATTAAAAACTCTTCAGATTCTCTTTCTTCTATAATTTCAATGAAATGTGTAGAAAATCATTTTGTTTTGGGTAATATGGATAGTAGGAGGCATTTTCCCTGTGTATCAGATACTTCATCCATTCTAACTTTATGACTCACTTGTTGGCTCTTGTTTCTGGGTCTTACCATGATCTTTGGGACAAAGTATAATCTGGCCTGCTTCACAAACCCTCATGTGTATACAGGTTTGTTTTTTTGCCCTCTTCCCATACACAACCCCAATATTCAAGGGCTAAGCAGATTTAACTCCATGTCAGGCTGTTAGAGGTTCTTTCCTACCCCCCAATCCCTTTGATCTGACTTTCTCAGTCTTAGTATTTTTCAGGCTCTCCCTTCACACAGAAGTTTTTCTCTCTCACGAGCTTGTATTACAAGGAAATTCTGTCTAGTCCTATTATCTCTTTACCTCCCTATTTGCCCTCAAAGTCCAGTTCCCTCTTTTTCTAATTATTCCTGTGAGGAATGACTAGAAATACTGTATATATAAACTTGAAATTCTCTATGTAAAGGAAACTTATGTAGAAGGAAATCACACAGAGGAGAACTCATAAAGGGGATTTCCTCATTCATACAGGATTACAATGCTGGTGAATCATAAACTTCTTAGTGAAAAACCAGAAATATCAGTAATTTTCAAAGTACTCTGCACTGCTTCAGGATGAGCAGGACTGGTGGGTGTGGGAGTGGGGAGGGGGAGGGGGAGGAAAGGGACATGGTGGGGAGCTGGAGATCGGGAAGGCTGTTTTACTTATTTATACTTTAAAGGAATGTTTTATTTGATGCAGAAATCTTAGGGCTGAAGATTTCTATTGAAAACTAGAATTCTGGTAGATAAGAAGACATATGTGATTTCAGTCCTTAAGGAACTCATAAACCAATTGAGTATATCAAATAGAGATACCCTATCCCGGGAGGCCTGAGTGGCTCAGTTGGTTAAGTGACTGATTCTTGATTTCAGCTCAGATCATCATCCCATGGTTTGTGAGTTCGAACCCCACGTTGGGCTCCATGCTGCCAGCACAGAACCTGCTTGGGATTCTTTCTCTCTTTCTCTCTCTGTCCCTTTCCCACCTGATATCTCTATCTCCTTCTCTCAAAATAAATTAATGAACATTAAAAAAATAAATTATAGGAATACCCTATCACTTCATGCATTATGTGCCAGAAAGGAGACCTCATTTAAAAGGCCCAGCTCAATCCATACTTTATGGATAAGGACACTGAAACTCAGAAGTTAAATGGCTTGCCCAGGTATGTGATAGATCCAGCTGGTTAGTGTCAGAGAGAGATGGCCTGGGGCTCCTGACATGCTGTCAAGAACATTTTCATGATGTCAAGGACATCCACACTGGTTCACAAAGGTTGGGATAGTTTTTCATGAACGCCAAGGCACAAAGATTTGTCTTAAACACAATTTTTAAGATTACACTATTTCTGTAGAGAAAATACACTTATAAAATTTTAAAAGCTATTTGGATAATTGTAATATCGTCTTCAAAGTACACTGTATTTTTTCTTCACAACAATATAAGGCATTGTGCAATTACATGAAATTGCACTAGGGAAAGACTCCCAGCAGCCTCGAGAACTTACTTGCGGAAGCAGTGAGCTGCTGTGAGCAGCCACGTGTTACTGATGAGGGTGGCTCCGCACTGATGGCCGGAACCTATGAGCTGGAGGCTGGCCTGCCATGGCCACTCGCCTTCCATGGCTGTTTCCCTCCCTTGGACAATCCTCTCAGTAGAGGAGGATGCTGGTAAAGGCATGTTTGAAGATGTCATCCTTATTCCACAGCCTGTCACAGAAATGTATGTTAGCTTGTTTTTGTGAAAAGGGAGAGAAAAGAAGCATATACTGATTTGCATAGGGTGCAGATGCTTTGGTAGTCCATTGTGCCTGCTCTTTTTTTTCTTTAATTTAAATCCAAGTTAGTTAGTTAACATATGGTATAATAATGATTTCAGAAACAGAATTTAGTGATTCATTACTTACATATAACACCCAGTGCTCATCCCAACAAGTGCCCTACTTAATGCCCTTTGCCCATTTAGCCCATCCCTCCACCCAACACCCCTTCAGTAACCCTCAGTTCGTTCTCTGTATTTAACAGTCTCTTATGGTTTGTGTCCCTCTCTGTTTTTATATTAGTTTTACTTCCCTTCCCTTATGTTCATCTGTTTTGTGTCTTAAATTCCACATATGAATGAAATCATGAGATTTGTCTTTCTCTGACTTATTTCACTTAGCGTAATACACTCTAGTTCCATCCATGTTGTTGCAAATGGCAAGATTTCATTCTTTTTGATCACCAAGTAATATTCCATATTCCATATTCCATATACTACATCTTCTTTATCCATTCACCAGTTGATGGACATTTGGGCTCTTTCCATACTTTGGTTGGCTATTGTCAATAGTGCCGCTATAAACATTGGGTGCATGTGCCTGCTGTTCTTTAACCCTTTCCCAGTACTCAGTGTCTGAGGTTAATCTATAGGGATCTTCCTGATCCTGTTGAGGTTCAGAAGAAATATTTACTAACATGTCGAGGCATCCAGTCTAGGAATTAACTTCTGTCTCTCTATATTAAGCATATATGGATGGATACATAGAGAGGTAGATAAAAATTTTATTGAGCATCAAAAAAAAGAAAAAAAGAGAGAGAGGTTAGAGTGGGAGAGAGCCAAAGCATAAGAGACTCTTAAAAACTGAGAACAAACTGAGGGCTGATGGGTATTGAACAGGGCATCTTTTGGGTTGAGCACTGGGTGTTGTATGGAAACCAATTTGACAATAAATTTCATATATTTAAAAAAATAAAAAATAAAAAGGATTTTACACCATGAAAAAAATATATAGAGAGAGATCCTCTGCTACGTGTTTTAGATTTATTTATAGCAAGCCACTTTTCAGATGAGGAAACTGAGCCTTGGAACCAGATCATAAAGTGCTAGAGGTCATCCAGCTGGTAAGTGAACGAGTTGGACATAAAATTAGGAGGATCTACATCAAAGCTTGTGTTCTTGCTCCTGAGAGAGAGCCTAGTACCAAATGCAGGTCATGATTCTCCCTTGACATGAATTTATACACAGTCTTTGCAAGTCCTGAATTTAAACAGTCTTAAACAATAATGACCTTTTTTGGTTTTCTAAAATTTGAAAGACTAGTTTTAAAAAAAAATACAGGAATGCCTAGGTGGCTCAGTCGGTTGAGCATCCAAGTTTGGCTCAGGTCATGATCTCACGGTTTGTGAGTTTGAGCCCCATGCTGGGCTCTGTGCTGATAGCTCAGAGCCTGGAGCCTGCTTCTGACTCTGTGTCTCCCTCTCTCTCTGCCCCTTCCTCACTTGTGCCATCTCACTCTCTCTCTCTCTCTCTCAAAAATAAATAAACATTAAAAAAATTTTTTTAAATCAGATTCCCTGACAAGAAACCCTCAATTTGTTAGAGTTCAAATCAACCTTAAATAAGACTAGAAAGCATATTGATATATTTTATTAATGTGTCTTTCTTTTTTAATTTTAATAAGCTTTCACCCAAGTTGGGGCACAAACTCATGGCTCCAAGAGTCACATGCTTTACCGACTTAGGCAGCCAGGTACCACTATTAATGAATGTACTTTTCAATTATTTATATTTTTATTAAAAATACTAGTTTTTTTTCAAAAAAGAATATTTTTTCAGAAACAGGTTAAAAATAGACGCCTGTAATCATGTTTATAGATTCATTATAATTCCCTCTGAGTTAAATAGCTCCAGTTTAAGGTGACCATGAAATTAAACAGATGGGATCTCTAGGCTAATATATTGGTAGTACCTAATAGATACTTCCTCTCCCAAATTCCTCTTAAAATATGCATGAAAGTAATGCTAATATAAATACTATGTAGTAGTTGTGAGCCAGGCCCTTTATGTACTGTTACATATATTTTCTTTAATTTTCTCAATTCCTATGCTAGGTGTCATCCTCATATTGCAGATGAAAAATCTGAGTCTGGTATTTTTTCAAAGGCAACAGAGCAAAATCACCACAACATAAGGAAAAATAAGAAAAAAATATATATATAAATTCTGGTAGAAACTCCAATAGCCAGTGGGGTTTGAGAACAACTTCTTGGACTATATAAGCTCTAGCTTGTGAACCAGAATGGTGTGGAGAATCCTGGTAAGATGACAAAGCCATTGTCTTACTGCTATGGGGATTCCCCAGTCCAGGAAATTAAGCTACACTGCACTTGTTCCCAGCCAAGCAGATACTATAGGTTAAGCCATCCCACTGTGACTCATAAACTCTTTTCTTCCTATGTATGTATGTATGCAGAAGCCACATTTCTGGCACACCGTCCTGTAGAGAGATATAGGAAAGATGAGAAATTCTATGAAAATGTAGTTAACCTCATGCAGTGGTCTGAATGTGAACCTGTCAAATTTATGTCAAAATCCTAACTCTTAGAGGTGATGGTATTACTAGGTAGGGCCTTTGGAAGGTGCTAAGTCAGGAGGGCAGAGCCCTCATGAATGGGATTAGTGCTTTGGAAGTCTCCAGAGAGATCTCTAGCCCTTCTGCTCATGGCATGATGATTCTTTAAATCCGTGAGTTGGAAGAGGGTCCCCACTGGACCACTCTGGTACCCTGGTCTCACACTTCTAGCCTCCAGAATTGTGAGCAACAAATTTCTGCTGTTTATTAACTACCTAGTCTATGATATTTAGTTACAGCACCAAGAACGGGCTGAGATGCCTCATAAAAAGTATTTAAGCAGTGAAAGGAAGAGCACTGGCATCAGCGAATGCTACATTTGGTGGTGCAAAAGGGGAGACTGATGTAGTTTTCATAAACTCTGCTTGTAAGATCAAACCTTAAGCCTGCATCTTACTGTATAGTATGGTTAGGGACCCCCAAATCAGATGATATAAAAACTCAGAAGACAGACATATTTCTGAAAGTTATCTTCCACAAAAAATTTTAGGAAACATGTTTGTTACCAGCCAAGTTGTGCAAGTAAACATGATCTTAATGTAACAAAAACATATCGGACAAAGGGCTAGTATCCAAAATCTATAAAGAGCTCACCAAACTCCACACCTGAAAAGCAAATAACCCAGTGAAGAAATGGGCAGAAAACATGAATAGACACTTCTCTAAAGAAGACATCCGGATGGCCAACAGGCACATGAAAAGATGTTCAGCGTCGCTCCTTATCAGGGAAATACAAATCAAAACCACACTCAGGTATCACCTCACGCCAGTCAGAGTGGCCATAATGAACAAATCAGGAGACTCTAGATGCTGGAGAGGATGTGGAGAAACGGGAACCCTCTTGCACTGTTGGTGGGAATGCAAATTGGTGCAGCCACTCTGGAAAGCAGTGTGGAGGTTCCTCAGAAAATTAAAAATAGACCTACCCTATGACCCAGCAATAGCACTGCTGGGAATTTATCCAAGGGACACAGGAGTGCTGATGCATAGGGGCACTTGTACCCCAATGTTCATAGCAGCACTCTCAACAATAGCCAAATTATGGAAAGAGCCTAAATGTCCATCAACTGATGAATGGATAAAGAAATTGTGGTTTATATACACTATGGAATACTACGTGGCAATGAGAAAAAATGAAATATGGCCTTTTGTAGCAACGTGGATGGAACTGGAGAGTGTGATGCTAAGTGAAATAAGCCATACAGAGAAAGACAGATACCATATGGTTTCACTCTTATGTGGATCCTGAGAAACTTGACAGGAACCCATGGGGGAGGGGAAGGAAAAAAAAAAAAAAAGAGGTTAGAGTGGGAGAGAGCCAAAGCATAAGAGACTGTTGAGAACTGAGAGCAAACTGAGGGTTGATGGGGGGTGGGAGGGAGGAGAGGGTGGGTGATGGGTATTGAGGAGGGCACCTTTTGGGATGAGCACTGGGTGTTGTATGGAAACCAATTTGACAATAAATTTCATAAATAAATAAAAAAAAAAAAAGAGTCAAGACATGGGAAAAAAAAAAAATGTAACAAAAGCAGCCAAACATAGGAGGGAAAATATGCTGCGAGAAGAGTACACATAACAAAAGAGCTGTCGGTAATCAAATAAAATTGTAGATATCACAGGCATATCATAGCAGATATGAAATCCACATGGAAGAGGAAAAGTAACACCAGACAACTGAGATAAGTGGTTTGGGGGAATACAGAACTGATAAGATCTTTCGGAATGTGGAGGAAAGTGACCTGAACTGGAACTAGAACTAATGATGGATATGGGGAGCAGAAAATGGAATTCAAATAAATCGTTGGTGTTCCTGAGGGAGAAGAAAAAGAAAAATTGGAATGGAAATCAATCATCAAATGTACAATGGAACATTTTTCCAGAATAAGAAAAAAAAAAGTGTACAGATTGAAAACATTCATAATGTCCTAGTCAAAATTCAGTGCAAAATATAATTGTCTAGATTTCTTGACAAAAAACTTAGGATAAAGATTTCCTACATTCATCCAAGAACAAAAAAGTTAACCTATGTAAAAATAAAAAATGCAGCAGCCTTAGACTTTTCCTCTACAACAAAACACTAGAAGAAAACAGAATAATGTGTATAGAATTTTTAGGAGAAAGTGTATGACCCAATAATCCTATAAGAAATTGAGATAAAGGACGGGGCACCTGGGTGGCGCAGTCGGTTAAGCGTCCGACTTCAGCCAGGTCACGATCTCGCGGTCCGTGAGTTCGAGCCCCGCATCAGGCTCTGGGCTGATGGCTCAGAGCCTGGAGCCTGCTTCCGATTCTGTGTCTCCCTCTCTCTCTGCCCCTCCCCCGTTCATGCTCTGTCTCTGTCTGTCCCAAAAATAAATAAACGTTGAAAAAAAAAATTTAAAAAAAAAAAAGAAATTGAGATAAAGGAAATTGAGAGAAGGCAGAAAGTGTACACAGCAGATATTTTAACAAAAATGAAAGAAAACAGAAATTTAACAGGAAAAACCCTAACTAGTTACCACTTTAAAACATTCTCTTGAATTTGAGAGGATATTAAAATAGAAATATTTAAAGAGAATATGAAAATACAATGTTAGGTGGCGTCTGGGTGGCTCAGTTGGTTACGTGTCCAACTAGGTCTCAGCTCAGGTCCTGATCTCACAGTTTGTGGGTTAGATGCCCACGTGGGGCTCTGCACTGATGGCGTGGAGTCCACTTGGGATTCTCTTTCCTCTTTCTCTCTCCGCCCCTCCCCTGCTTGCATGCACACTTTCTCTCAAAATAAATAAATACACCTTAAAATGTTCAAGATACAATGTTAGAAATATAGTCACAAAAAGCATAATATCAAGAAGCTATGAATTTTCTTTTACTACATTCTGCAAGTCATAAAACTTAAAACTGTATTTGGTGTAAATTTATAAACTTAAATGTTTTAAATATTAAAAATAACCAGCAATAAGGGTGTTTGGGCTGCTCAGTCAGTTAAATGTCCAACTTCAGCTCAGGTCATGATCTTGCAGTCCATGAGTTTGAGCCCCACGTCAGGCTCTGTGCTGACAGCTCAGTGTCTAGAGCCTGCTTTGGATTCTGTGTCTCCCTCTCTCTCTCTGTCCCTCCCACACTCACGCTCTGTCTGTCTCTTTCTCTCTCAAAAATAAATAGGCATTAAAAAATAATAACCATTAATAAAACACTAGGTGGTTTACAAAAACGTAAGATGAGCAAAAAAGACTTGATGAATTCTTCTTCTAACTTTTCTGTGACTTTGATTCATTATCTTCGTTATGAAATAGACAGTGGTGGGTTTTGGAACTTACGGCTGTTGAGAAGATTCCTCATCTTTTTGCTGTCGATAGCTGCAATAAACAAAAATTGAATTAGTTGGTCAAAGAATATGTTCCTGTTTATATGTGATTTTGTTCAAATTATCACTAGAAGAAATGCTTATTATCCATCTTTCAAGAGGGCATTAGATTTTTCAGTCAAGGAATATATACATAGCTCAGATCTGATTTGGTCCAAAATGTATAATTTTACTTAGAAATGAAAAGAGAGCATTTTTGTTATTTTCTGATTTTTGCTATGAAATCTGCAAAGGACATTGGGAAAGAATGGTAAGGATAAATATCCCTAATTGCCTTGAGAGCCCTAGCATAATTGGAAGAGGCAACCTCTGATTCCCATGCAGCTGGTGCTCTCTGTATTAGGTGCACCAGACCATGCATGTCAGGCACATGCCTGGTGGCCAGTGTAAAGGGGCAGCTCCAGGGAGCCAAGGGCATCACAGACTCTTCACAGCCCCATTTCTGGCCTTGGTCTATAAACAATAGGAATTCAGTCAATACGAGTTGATGGTCTTCTCTCACTGGGGATTCTTCCTCCTGGTGAATATTGTAGAAGGTTGCTGCTCAGGCAGCAGGAACTAGAGGCATGAAGAAGCTCTGATATACAGCCTGTCCAGGGACACTCTCCCCATACCACTTTATGCCTCCCTTCTGTGACATCTTTTTCCCTTCAAACTTTTCTTCACGTTCTTTTAAGTTCAATTTCATTGCATTTTTTTTTTGGTTTGATGTTTGTTTGTTTTGTTTATTTCTCAGAGAAAATTGAGAGGTATATAACGATTTCCTCAGGAACACTGACTTCTCCACAAGAAGGGATATGAACCCCAAACTGTACTAGAGGTTTTCTGGGCGTTTCACTTCTCTTTATGTAACAGGAGATATATTTGTAGCAGAAGAAAATGTTTGTAGTAGAATTTTGGTTATGGAGTATGGTTATAGAATATAATTATTTGATATTAAAACAATAACCCGTAGGGTAAAAAGTCAGTGTGCATGACCAAGAAGTCTGAAAAATTATTTTTAAAAATATTGGAAAAATTATTTTTTAATTGTAAAAAAAAATCCCTTTGACATGTCTTTTATGATAGATATTTTATTTTAGCATATATGATCATGCATTAGGAGAAATTATATTATCAGGAATTGAAATTTAATTTGAGATTGCCCTTTATGGAATGCTGAAAAATATCATCTTTTACTTTGGAATATAATTGATTAACACTTAAGGTAGATAGTACACTCTTCATTCTATCTAATTCATGAAAGTTGTCATTACTGTGTGTGAGGATCCTATCTCAAAATGGATTTTAAGGGGGTTTCCTGATTTCTAAAAACAGAGAAATCAACTTTAAATAATCTTTTTCTTAAATTCATGGATACTTTAACGGGAACAGACTTTCTGGTCCAAAGGGCAAATCAGGAATTCTGCCTTTGGTGTACTTAATCAGAACAATGAACAGAACCAGAGCACCTACCACATGTGAGACATCTGCTAGTGTTTGTGGGGAGGGGGTAAGGAACTAAAAAGCCACAGTACTCGACCATGAAACTTATCATTGGAACCCCATGGTTATGCATCTCAGTTTAGATTCCAACTAGCTAAAGGTAGTTTTAATTTCTTAACATCTTTATTTTTGTCTACTTTTGGGGGAAAACAAAATAACTTTTTTGATTTTATTTTGTGAGGAATAAAGGAGGAAATGAACAAAACATTGTTTTAAGTTGGAAATGATCCAGAGAACTTCTTCATAGATCATGGCAATGGTTCTTCCTACAGTGGTAAACCTTTCTAAAGATGTTGGTTTTCTTGATACTATAGGCGCTCATCCCCAGAACTGACCTGTAAAGATCTCTGGGAGACAGAACACCTGTGCTTTAATTTTGGCCCCCAAGGCTTGCTAATGCCCTGTCTTATATCTTCCTTGAGGCTCAGATTCCTTACAGTGGTGAAAATAATACTTTCCCTCTCATGCTTTTGCAAAGATCCAACATGATACATGGGAAAAATTTTAGAAACCTTAGCAAAACACCTAATCAAATATGAAAATAAATTCCAAAATTAAAATTTGCCTTATAGTGAATTTATATTTTAGATTTACATTGCTATATCAGTGGTGAAGTCTTAAAATGGGAGTAGACATTGATCTAAATTCTTATGAAAAATAAAGAGGATTGCCAAGGAACCACAAAGATGATAAAAGGACTTACATGTGAGCGTGAATGATGATTTGTTTATAGTCAGAGGCAACTGTTTTGTCTTCAGACTTTGATATAAAATCCTCTCAATTTTTTTCTTGATTTGCTCAGCACTATCAGTAGATGGGTATCGAAACATAAGCACCATAAGGATGTTCATACCTTGTTCATCTGGACTAAAGAGCAAAAAAGCAGATAAATAGAGATAATAACAACAAAGCCACCTCTCTAATTATTAACTATTTTTACCTATTAAGATTCCCACTAAATTTTTAAAAATGGATGAAATATGTGTGTATCAGATTTCTAAATTATCTCCAGAAACGCTGAGTAGGATACAAAGCTGGAAAAAATTGTTCTTTCTCCTTAATTAGGTCACAGTCTGCAGGCGGTAGTGAAAGGAAGACATGTTCATGAAATCATGCTTTATATGCACTTAAACAATTTGCTTTTGAAGACATTATAAGCCACGGTAACCAACACCATTTTTCAGTAGTGGTGTGGCAAAGACAATGCTTTGTGCCCACGAAACCCAGTTACCTTTGCCTCCTGACCACAGGGCTAAATTTCATTCCCTAGCCTCCTTTGCAGTTTATTGTAACTCTAGTGAATTCTGTGGGCAGAAATTATGTATCCCACTTCCAGCCTGGCCCCTGAAAACTTCCCATACCACCCTCCCTGCTTTCACTCTTCCTGGATTTGCCAACCGGATACCAAAGATCTAGTGGGCAATTCCATTCTGCAGTCCTTCCCAGTACCCATGTCCCCTGTGGCCACTTCTGACTCTTTGGACTATGTCATGGAAATGAAGTAAACCTTTATTGTGTTAAGTTATTTATGTTTTGGAATTTGATAGTTTACGTATGTTTGGTAAGTAGATAATTAGAGAAAGCACTTATTAAAATAAATGTTTTGATAAGAGGTTCAAAGATATGCATTTATACCATGTATAGGTCTAGAAAGCCTCTAGTTACCTTTTGAGAATGAATTTCACCTTGAAACATATAAAGAATCAAAGTAGGAAGGAAGGAGAGAGAAAGTAAAGTAAGAAAGGAACAAAAGTGGAAGAGAGGAGAAGAAAAGACAGGTTCTCCTTAACCACAGGTATTTTTATCGTCAAGAAATGAAGCAGACTACTACGTATTACATGTATTTATATTTGTATATTGATTGATAGCCACCGAAAAATTTTAAAATTTTTCACCAAAATGGGTAGAAAACAAGATACATTATTTCAGTAAATGCTAAGCCTTTTGGACATCATATTAAAAAGTATATACTAATTATTAGATGGATTCTAATAATTTGTTTGAGACTCATATGTATGTTTAATTTATGCATACTGCCTCTCATCCAAAAATAAAAATGAAAAGGTATTAGAGATAATAATAAAAATGCAATGGCATTAAAGAAAAATGTTACTGCAGAGAGAGTCATAGTCTGATTATTGGATAGCCTTACAAAGAGGATAACCAAAAAGAGCTCATCTAAATTCTACTTAGCCCAGTACCAGTGCCATTCTTCCCCTTCCAGCGTCTAATGACTGGCATTGCCTCCAGACATATTCCTGTCATGACTGGGAAATGTCTGTGCACCATAAGCTGACTGCTCAGGGTTTATGAAATCTTTGTGTTCCTGTAAAGATTTTCCCAAGGGAGCTGGGCAGTCATGTTGATCAAGTACTTCTTAAAGATACTGGCTTGAAGTTGCAAACTACGTATACATACCTCAGTCTGATAACATGAGATTTGATAAACCGACCTCCTCCAGAAGAATGTCGAAATATCCTAGACATCTGATTAGAATAATTAAACAATAGAAGTATTAGTCATAAGAAAAATGTTACTCCTTTGTCTTTTCTAGAGATTTGAGGCAAAAATAAGAATTTTGTTTTTTTCCCAGACAGGAACTGGTTTATCACAGTGGTAAGACTAAAAGAGGTTCTAATTTTTGCAGAACTGAATAACTTTAACAAAACTATATACTTTTGTTCAGCTTCTGTAAAACAGGATAACAACAATATCTACCTCAGAGTTGTTTTGAAGATTAAATGAAATAATGTTTCACACATTTCACACCTTGCCCGTCATATAGCAAACTATTGATAATGTTCATTTGATCATTGTCAAATGAATTTAAGTATCTGTGCTATTTTTAAAGGAAGCATCCTCACTTTTAAGAAAGCCCATCCTAAGTTTGTGGTATTTCCAAATATGGCATCCAGTCCATTGTTTGTTTCAACTCTTTGCTTTCTCTTAAGATTTTTTTTAATGTTTATTTACTTTTTGAGAGAGAGAGAAAGAGACAGAGCCTGAGCTTGGGAGGGGCAGAGAGAGAGGGAGACACAGAATCCAAAGCAGAATCTAGGTTCCAAGCTGTTATGACAGTACAGGGCCCGACGCGGGGCTCTAACCCATGGACCATGAGATCATGACCTCAGCCGAAGTTGGATGCCCAACCGACTGAGCCACCCAGGCACCCCTCAACTCTTTGCTTTCTTAAATAATTATCCCATTACTAGAGCATTTGACATAATAAGTAAGGACGTGTCATTTGACTCTGACACCCTCACTTGTTAGTCATCTTTCCGTGGCAGGCAGGCTTCCAACTGGTACCAGGTTCGGAAATAAGTTTCACCACACTCCATACCATCAGCATTTTATTACTCAGCTTCTCCAGCCTGAGCCATTGAAGGATTTGAATGTTCAGTGAGCTGATTTCCTGGGACCTAATTCCCAAAAGACTGTTGAGGCACTGCCTCACAGTAAAAAGCACTGGACTGAGCGTCAGAAATTAGAAATTCCAGGTCCACATAAGTTTACAGAAGGCCCACCACCATGGTAAATCTTTCCCCTCAAATACTACATCCACTGGGAAGAGGGGATATTGTCTCCCTCTCCACAAGATTTCTCCCTCTCCTTGATGCCTTTAAACTAATAACAATGCTCAATAGATTTTACCTACTCAGTATTGAATCTCTCTCCTTTCCTCCAACTCCACGGCTGTAGTCTAAAATCAGCTCCTTTGAAACTTGTGCCTGGGTCTCTGCAGCATCCCCTCACTGGCACGTTTATGTGGTTCTACTCTGTCTTTTCTCCCCTCAGTTGTTCCCCCACAATAGTACCAACCGGAGTGATAGCCCCAAAGTGCAAATTTGAGGATGTGATCCTCCCACTTCAAGCCCTCTGTCTCCCTCAGCATGAGCTCTGCAATCTTATCCCTTCAGTGGCCCTTGAGCCATCCCTACCTTCAAAGCCTATCTTTTCATCTACTGAGTTACTTGCTCTGTCCTAATCCCACTAGACTGATTCACACCTCTATGGTTTTGCACATTTCATTTCCCTCTTTCTACAATGCACTTTTTCCCTCTGCAATTCCTTTAATTACAGTTCTGATACTATTCAGGCTCTCCAGTGACAAATAAGTTATCTTTGACTTGCCCTCCTCAAAGTTCAATACTCCTTTATTTGGGCCACCCCAGCAACTTGCACATGAGGCTGCTATAGCAATTATCACACCCGTTTACAATTGTGGCTTTCTCACTGTAGACTGTGAGCTCTATGATGGTAGGGAGTGTGTCTGATTCATCTTTGTATTTCCAGTGTTTGGAACACTGCCTGGCCCACAGTAAACACTCAATGCATGTTTGATGAATTATGGTGAAAATCCATGAATGAATAAATGAATTAAAAATCAGCAATATGGTAAAGGGAAGAAGAGAATAGCACATTGTTTTGTTTTATCTGCAAATCTTATTGCAAAGTAGAAGTAGAAATCCTTTGAGGCACCGGGGTGGCTCATTTGGTTAAATGTCCGACTTTGGCTCAGGTCATGATCTTGTGACCCGTGAGTTGGAACCCCATGTCGGGCTCTGTGCTGACAGCTCAGAGCCTGGAGCCTGCTTTGGAGTCTGTGTCTCTAGCTCTCTGCCCCTCCACCACTCAACTCTGTCTTTCGCTCTCAAGAATAAATGAACATTAAAAAAATTAAAAATTTTTCCAAAAAGTAGAAATCTATGGGAATATAAAGCAAGGTGGGAGGCAGGAGACTCTAGTGGTCACCCCCCTTTTGTATTGTCATTCCAAGGGTTTGGATCAGTTTTGAGTTATGTCACTTATGATTTCACTAAGCTTCTCTGAATTCATTTTATTTTCCTATATCAAGTAACCTGGAGAAAAATATGATTTTAAGGTCTGCAACAATTTACATAAATGTCCCCTGAAATTTTGAACTGTGCACATAATGGCAGTAGGGGAAAGGATCAGGATTCTGTCATATCAGACAGATATAAGAAAGTACTAAGAATCTGTTCAAACTAGAATGTTATTGTTAACAAGCCTATCATCTCCTGAGGAGTTGACCTCTGTTTAAAAATGGGTACAGTACAGGATTGATGTGACCACAAATAATAGTTTACATGTACTAAAGTCCATACTACACAGTATACATTGACCCAATTCCTTTGTTTAAACCTCACACCATCTTGGGAGTAAAGTATTTTTAAAATGCTCATCATCCTCATTTTGAAGATTAAAAAAAAAACTGGATGAGGACACTTAAGTACACTGGTCTGAGGTGGCATAGGAAATGCTGATTCTGGTATTTGAACTCAGGGAATCTGGCCCTAGATCTGGTGTTCTCAAGTATATTAAGTAACACTGACAACTCTGAGCGATTTATATAGCTGATGACAGATGTTCAGGTTGGTGGAAGTAGAGAGGTCCTGGGGCAAGAAACTTTTAAAGAAGACCTCAAATACATCTTTTATGTCCTGCATCTAAACCTTATAAAAGATCATCTCTTGGGAGGTTGCTTTTTTTTTTCTGCTTCTGAAAAATGGTTCCTTTTCAGACACCTAATCATTATTGTAAGCAAATTCTAGAGAAAATTAACTTATGTTTATATTTTTCTACTGAAAACTCAGTAATACTACATTTAGTCCAAATTGCAAAAACAAATTGTATCTTTCCCTTTTCATGTCCAAATCAAAGAATAGTTGTTGTTGTTGTCGTTGTTTTTTAGAGATTATTCTATTTAAAACAAGATAGAGGTTAAGCTAAAATGGGGGGAAAGTTCACCTTAAAATCAGATCCCACTTGTAGTCCTCGGCTTGAACTCCAGCATCAAAAAGCAAAATGACGTGTTTGAAACAATACGTGTGACTCTGACTAATAGGACATCCAGTTACTATCTTTCACAAGCTTGAGCTTGCACCTTCCCTCTGGCTGGGAACTGCATTCAGATTAAGTCCTCATAAAGATCAGTAGTTACTGGATGGCACCTAGGGAATCCCTTTCCAGGTCCACCCACGAAAATAAGTCAGGCAAGTTTAAAGATTTTCTGCTACTGTCAGGGGAATATATAATAACAGAGGGTGAATACACCAATAAAACAAATCCTTTGTCCCTTTCCTCTCCAAGAAAACTTCCTCTTAGCTTAAAAGAATTTTTCCTTCCTCTGAACTCCTGGAATACCTTTCATTCACATCATATATATTTGACAACTACATTCTGTACTGTGGAAGCTTTCATATTACCAAATCATCTTCTTGTCTAATTTTTCAGTTTGTATTCTTTTACATGCACAGAATTTTATACATAAACTATATTATAAACTACAATAAGCAAGAAACTGTGCTATTCAAATCTTGGCATTCTTCATAGTCTTACACAAAATAGGTACACAATAACATTTTCATTAACTGATTGATTCTCCAGCTGTGGTTAATCATAAACAACAGTGTGAAGAAAAAAAAATGCTGGCTTTTGCATCTCTTCATGTCTTTTTCACTATATTCTGTCCCCTTCCTTTTTTTTCTCATTTACTTATTCATTCAACACAATGGATCAAGAGTTTTCTATGTTTAAGGCACTGTGACAACACTGGATAAAAATTAGTAAATGAGGTACCTGGGTGGTTCAGTTGACTAGGGTTCAACTCTTGTTTTTGGCTCAGGTCATGATCTCACAGTTCATGAGTTCAAGCCCCGCATCAGGCTCTGTGCTGACAATGCGGAGCCTGCTTGGGATTGTTTCTCTCCCTCTCTCTCTGCACCTCCCCCTTGTGCTCGCTCTCTCTCTCTCACAATAAATAAACATTAAAAATTAGTAAATAAAAAGTTGTGGTCCCTGAACTCATAGAATAGAGGGACAGCAATAAGCAAAAATAAATTAATTACAAGAGGCAACTCATATAGTTAAATAAGATAGTTTTATGGTTGGAGGGTCTATAATATGTAAGGGTTTTCCAAGGAGGGACATTTAAGTGAAATCTAAAAAATCAGAAAGAGTAAGCAAGAGCAAGATCATGGGACAATCTTCCAGGTAGAAGAAATAGAATGTGCAGACCATCCCCCACCCCTCAAAAAAAAAAAAAAAAGTCAATATGATAGAGAACAGTGAGAAAGGAGAGTGTAGAAATTGGAGGAATAGTCAGAGGCAGAGCATTAAGCTCCTTAGACGACTTTGTAAAAAGCTTGGATTTTATTATAAGTACATAAAATGACTTATTCTAAGCCACTTATGAAATTTTAACCAAAATAAAACCTATCGTATGGGGTTTTTATTTTTTTAATTTTATTTATTTTGAGAGAGACAGAGACCGTGTGAGTGGGGGAGAGGCAGAGAGAGAGGGAGACATCCTCTGCAGGCTCCGCACTGTCAGCACAGAGCCTGATGGGGGGCTCAAACTCATGAAACCATGAGATCATGACCTGAGCCTAAACCAAGAGTCAGACACTTAACCAACTGAGCCACCCAGGTGCTCCTAACATCTGGTAGCTATGTAGACAAATAT